ATATATTCTGACCTTTTATAAGTTATAAATCATAACAGAATAAGAATGCCATGCAATCTAAGTGAAATTAGTCAAGAAAGATAAGAATTGGTTATATCTCAATTTAACTCTTCTAACATGTCTTGAAAACCGTTCTCTAAAAAACGTAACATTCACCAGTCAACGTATCCTCGAAAATATATGGTCAAGAAAAATTGAACCAATAATCCTACACGCATTTCTTCATTTGAAAAATTCATATTTACAATTTTTGGTTATTTTAATTTACAAAATTTGGATGTGACACATTCGCATTTATCAGAGCAAAGACGATTAAACTTGTTTCCATGGCTAACTAAGTGAAATTGTTTAAAAATGGTAAGAATTGGCTATAACTCAGTAATTTTTCGAAGAAAACATATTATAACTTATATCGCTGAAAAGCTTAAAAAATGGCACTTTTTATCACGTCAATTAAAAAAACATATGTTCGTGTAATATGACAAAAATGACAGATTTTAGAAAAAAACGGAGGACACAGCCTCATTAAGAATTTGATTATCTACAACTTTTATCTGAAAATTTTTTGTCTAAAATAGCTTATAATGGAATTAGCAGGGCCGGATCTACCTACGGGCTGTTTGGGCTGCAGCCCAGGGCCCCGAGGTTACAAGGGGCCCCCAGGCCCCGCAGACCAAACATAGAATCATTTAGTTAATAAAAAAATACAGAGCCCTGGTTTAGACATTTGTGAAGGCAACAAGTTAATTGTTTCAAAAAAAAGAAAAAAAATGTTGTTCTTTAAAAGACTTTGTGAGCAACATACGACATCAATCAGATCAAATGTTACAGTAATACGACGAAAAAGCTAAAAAAATTAAGTACTAGTGTAATAATAGACTACAATTACATAAACAACAGACGCAGAATTCCAAAATTTTCAGATAAGTCTACAGGTGAATTCTCAGTATACGGCGCAGAAAGATTTAAAGAGACACGTTAAAAGTTGCGTTGGATAAGCTGATTATGGATTTAAATAAAAGGAGACAAGTCTATGAGACATATAGCAAAAAATTCAAATTTTTAATGGTTTTGCAAGACAAAAATATCGAAAACATAGATTTGGAAATTGCACGTCATATTATTGATTACTATCCCGATGACGTAGACGAGCATTTAGTGAATGAGTGCATTCAATTAAAATAGTACTTACTCCAATCTATGTCTGAGTCGTACACCTCTTGCAGTGACATTTTTATGCTCATGTATGAAAATAAACTTATTAACGTGTTCCCTAACTGCTATACCATTTTAAAGATTTTTTTAACATTGCCAATCACTAGCTGTGAAGCAGGAACGCTCCTTCTCAAGATGTCCTATGTAGAAAATAAATATAGGACAACAATGCCGAACCATCGACTAAATAATTTATCACTTCTTTCCATAAATTGTGATCTAACAAAAGACTTGGAATGTGATGACCAAATAACTGTCAATTTCTGTGACTACAACCTATCAATTTCTTTTACTAATTCATAATAAGTAAATAAATAAAATTGTTTTATTGTTTTTTTATATTCTTATAAAATATCACTATTTCGGTTTCTCTCTCACCCAAAGTTTGCCTGGAAGAGCAATAAGGTCGCCTTTTGTACAACTAATACTTGCGTAGATTTAAGTAACATTTATGTTACTTAAATCCACATATCACAAATACCGAAGTCTACAGCAGAATAGGCAGAGAAAGAGAATTGCTCAATATAATAAAAATAAGAAAAACATCATACTTAGGGCATATATTGAGAAATGAAAAATACCACGTCTTACAATTATTGATAGTTAAGGGTAAGATTGAAGGAAAGAGAGGTATTGGCAGGAAGAAACTATCTTGGTTGAGAAACATCAGAAACTGGACTCACATAACTTTTGAAGAACTTATAAGGAAAGCCGAGAATCGTGAAGATTTTGCCAATGTGATCGCCAACCTCCACGAAAGAGACGGCACGTAAAGAATAATAATAATAATATATCATTATAGAAACAGTTTTTTGATATGGCTATTAGTTGAGTACTTATGTAGGCCCCTAAGTAGTTTCAGCCCAGGGCCCCACAAATTCACGATCCGCCCCTGGGAATTAGGGACAATTTTTAAAATAGCCGAAATTTGTTTTTTTCGAAATATCTAGTAAGCCATGAACTTTTTCAAAAATCTGAAAGGTGCATATTTATGACCCCACAAAACTGCAATTCTTTCCCCATTTAACCGACTCTCTATCTCCAGTAGTTTCCGAGATACCCATAGAGAACATCGCAGGAAACTCACTCTGTATTATGTATGTATCTATTGTAGATCTAAAGGGAAATTAAAACAACTTTCGTTGCACGTCATCAATGACACCATACGTCGTGTTATGGAGTTTGCTGGTGGTCGTATTATGATGTGCAACCAAATATATACTATGAACGTGTTTTTTATTTGTTTTATAAACTAAATAAGATTACTTTAATTAAACCTTAAATTTGTACTTGCCTAAAGGGTACATAATTCGGTTTTTAACTATAAAAAGTATATAAAATAATACTGTTAAAGCATAATAATGTTATGTTAAGTTACGAATATACGTTAAGCCCCATCCCCACACTTCGCTCCTTCCTCGCCTTACTTCCTCGCGTTACTTCCTATCGCGTTCTTTCGTCCCTTCGCTTCCTTCCTTCGTCCATTCCAAGTCCATTCGATGCTTGGAAATTAGTCAATTATGCAACAACACGCCACAAAATATTTTTAATATAGCAGCTACATGTTTAATACGAAATATCTAATAATCTCTAATATTTTTAAAAAATCCGAAAGGCGCATAATTTTTATTTTATAAAACTGCAATTCTTTGTCGTGTCAAAAATAAAAATTGAATTTTAATAATATATTTAATTTTAATAAATCCGAATATTTCAGTATCATGTCCAAGGTATATCAGTATGAATGTACAAGGCGAGTCAGCAATAGAGTAAAGTTTATTATGTAATTTATATCGAAACCATGAAATATGACATACTAATTGAACGTTAATGATGTCAATCCCCATTTCTTCAGATATTTTTGTAAAGGCATCATGCACATTATTTCTATTTTTTTATTTTTGTCGCTACGATTACATAAATATGGACATGTATTTTTTTCACAAATATGAAGACAATATTGTTTTTTTGTTCCATTTTTTAGACTATTGTGTGTGAATTATTTTTATATCGACTGGCGATTGCTAGATGTACAGGATGTCCCATTTGTGTGTGTTTTATGGGGTTTCTGGTTTATGAGTAGATATATAAAGATGCTGTTTTCACATCATTGTTCTACTTATTATGAAACTAAATATGCTACATAAGAAATAAGAAATAACTTTGAACTAAGAAGGCTAGGATAAATACATATTTATCCTAGCTTTTACTTTTTATTTTTTAATTAGTAGAAATTGTTGCATTTTTTGATAACCTTTGTATCTCGATTATCTTATAACTTATCGAAAAGGTGAAAAGGGTCAGTGATGGGCGGTGGGTAAGTACCCAATTGTAGATAAATAAAATCTGGGTATATATGTATATACCTGTAGATTTAGATGAACATCCTAATTTTAATAAAAGGAGTTTCCGACGACCGCATAGTAAATACCCGGTATAATACCGGGAATAGAAATATACCATATATTATATCTACAATATATACAAGAAATATTGTAGATATACTCGTATTCCTGACATTACTGGTGTTATATCGGGTATTTACTATGCGGTCGTTGGAAATACCTCTTATAAAATTAGACTGTTCATCTAAATGTACAGGTATATACCGGCTACCCTGATTTTTTGTTTTGTTCTACCTATTGAGTACTTACCCACCGCCCGTGTCTCGTTTTTCAGGTAGAATGGCAGTGACGAAAGTGGTTCTTCGTTGGGAGCTGTCTATTTCGAAAAATGACTCAAACTTATGTTCTTTTTTTTAAACAGGACACTCTATATATTATTCTTTATTTTATTTGCCTTGTTATGAGCTTTCGAATTATAATATACTCTATATTTATTTATTTAGGTACTGCTAAACTGCTAAACGGCTCTTATTTTATTTAACTTAATTTTACCAGATAATTTTGTTTTGCATCGTGATATTTTGATAAACTACACGGAAACTGAACTTGTGCTGCTTTTAAATAACATGCCAATAACCAACATTTTACGTCGAATAAATTAGTTGATTGTTTTGATTACCTAATTTAAACCGGCCGACTATGTAATAAAGATAAATAATGCATTTTTACCCTGTTTATGAAAATAAGTATTTTAGAAAGCTCGTAACAAGGAAAATAAAATAATATACAAAATATCGCATTTAAAAAAACATATAAGTTTTAGTCAATTTAAAAAGACAGATTCAACGAAGAAATAGTTACGTCACTGCATTCTACGTGAAAAACTGTACGGGAGACCGTTTTTCACCTTTTTCGATAAGTTATGATACAAAGGGGATCGAAAAAATGCAATAATTTCAGATTCGCCCTGTATTTTAGGAAGTAAGAGAGTTAGGACATATCTGTATGTAGCATCTTTAGTTTCATAAAAAAGTAACAGCGTACTGTGAAAACCGCATCTTTGTATTTCGACTCATAAACGAGAAACTCTGCAAAACACACGAAAATGACACCCTGTACAAACGTACTGCCAAATCAAGGAATCAACTACGAATGAAATCCAAGATCGATTTATATATTTTATATATTTTAATATTTTTTTTGTGTTCGTGATAATTCCTTAGCTACTTCCTCCAAAAACCGACAATACGGGGAAGGAGCGTTTCGAGGAAGTAAACGGACGAAGTAGCGTTTTGACGAAGGAGGAAGGAACACACAGTCGCATAAAATCGACATTTTCCCATAGTAAATATATGATTTTTGGACGAAGGGACGCGAGGAAGGAACGAAGTGAAGTAGCGAAGTGTGAGTATGGGGCTTTAGTTATAACAGTTTTAAGGCGAGTTTTTATATTATATTTTTATTATCTGTGGTATTATCAATCTGCTTCTCATAAACTTTCCGGGAATCTTCAATAACTAGCATAAGATTGCTGGTCATGTAATATGGTTTCGAATCTCCATCATTCGACCGCATGTCTTCACAATAGCAAACAAAAACAGTATCAATGGTACACTAAAACAACAAAATAAAATCATTGGTGTTAATAGCCTAAGAGCTGACGACATATTTAGAGAACATATTTTAGGCGAGCTAGAATAACTAAAAATGTATAGTTTATTAACTGATGAACCCAGAATCCTAAGTCTGGCTGGGGGGTTGGGGGTATTTCGCTACTGCGCAACCCATAACATTTGCAAAAAAATAAATCCAAAAAACATTCTTTAGGCAACTTGAAATTTGTTTATTCTTAAATTTTAGCATCTATTTAACCTAGAAATAAGTATGACAGACTTTTTATTCGGGTTTAAAGTGTAACCAGACCATTCCTAATATGTTTAATTATTATACCTGGAAAACATACTTTAGGCATTCTAAAATTTTTACAGCGTGTTTATTAGATGATATTAAAAAGTATGTGTTAATTAGCGATGGGAACTATCGAATGGTTACTGAATGAATGATTTCAACTATCGAATGGTTTTATTCGAATAAAATCATTCATTCATTTGTATACAAAAGCATATGTGACAACCTCGCCGTACGACTAAATGGTTATCGTTGCGCCACGACTATCGAATGCTTTTGATAAATGAAATTTAGTATTCGCTTGATTTTTGTGTGCGTCAGTGCATTATTAGTTCTACCAAATTATTATAACTTTGCCTTGTAAATACTATGCTATTTTTGCGTTTATTAAAATATTTAAAATACTAAAATAGTAGTTTTTTTTTAATTGACGATTGTGTGCGAAGTGGTCAAAATTTTTCCGAAAATTTGTGTGATTTTCCGTAGCCCGATCTTTCAATTATTTAATTTTATATGGTATATTATGGTTAGGTTAGATTGCATTTTTTTAAAGGGAAATTTTGAGAAGTAGCAATTTTTTAGAGAGATGAGATGAACTTACAATTAATTTTAAAAATACCTACATATTTGTATTTTAGATGTTTTAATAATATGAATTAGTTGAACTTAATAATCATATTTAAGTAATGTGGTTAAGTAAATGGTTATCGAACTCAAATTTTGGGGTGAGAAAATTAAATTGAAAGTTTTACACGTGCCAATTTAAAAAAAAAACTTAACAATGTTTGTATTTTGTTTATGCTAATTCTCTTACATGTAGTTTTTTGCGAAGAAATATTTCATTTGTTTTTTAAAGTAAATGCCAGCAAAAGTAAATATTATTTTTAAATAGTAATATAAAGTAATATAAATAATTTTGATTTCTAATTTTTTACTTATATTTTCCTTCCATTACACTGCATGCTTAGAAAATTAATAAATGTTTATATTTCATGATTTTAAAATTTGTTGTTAATATAACAAATTAGTTCTGTAATTATTATTATTTAATAAACCAACGTTGCTATTTAGAGACTATATTATTTTTAAATAGGATCTAATATAAATACTTTTGACTTCTATTTGTTGTTTATATTTTGCTACTACTTAAAAAAAAATGTTTATATTATTAAATGATTGTAAATTTTGTTGTTAATAGGTATAACAAATTACTACTGTTATTATTTATTAAACTAGTCTTTGCTTAAAAACATTAAAAATCATTTTCCTACATCCAAAATAAAAATTATTATTGCAGTGTAACAACAGAATATTAATAAAAAAAATGCAAAACATAGAGACATACTATCCCTAACTAACTAATGCTAAAGAATAATATTCTTTGCTAATACCAACTAATACGAATATATGGCAACAGCGCCCTTCATAATATATTTTCTGTGTAAATACTAGCACCTCAATAAAAAAATAATGTGTCCTTATCTTTATTTGGCTCCGCAAAATCAAAGATGCCGGCTTCTTTCATAGCATTGCCACCGACCGCTGTCGGGTTTTTAGGAAAGAAACCTACGTCGCCGGACGACAACTAAAATCCAGTTTATATTTTATTAAAATCGATCCTGACGAATAAATGAATTTGATAAATGAATGAATTTTATAAATGAATGGTTTTTGCTGCCGAATTACTAGAATACAATATTTCAAGGCAGATGACGCATCTATTCGATAATTTTTATTCGAATAGTTTTCGACGAATGTTTTCTTACTAGCTATCGAATTATTCGAATGAATTGTAACTATCGAATGTTTCGATAGTATTCATTCGATAGTTCCCACTACTAGTGTTAATTGCCAGACGAATTCAATGGGATTTAATACTTGCCAGACGCGAATAAAGATTTTAAATGAGCGCGATAAGAAAGTCTTATGAGTATCTATAAGCGCGAGAAAGATAGTTTATTGTGACCCGGTCGGCAGCCGATGCGGCTGACGTAACAGCATTTTGGAGTCGTAAAAACTTAAAAAAAACTAACTAATATTGAATAAATAAAAAGAAACATTTTTTAATAAAAATGTATGATTGAAATCCTTTCAATAAGAAGACTTTAATTTAAGTATTTTGTATCTGAAAGAATAAAAAGACGAATAATTATTTAAAAATTAGCGTAATATAAAATATATTTTTTCAAACGTCACAAAAGTATAATTATTATTATACTTTTGTGACATATTCATATTATTAATTTTGCGACCTGATTGACAATATAAAAAAAGTCATTTTAACGCCTAAGCATAAAAAGTAAAGCACTTTTACTTACTTTTGAATCTATTTAGAAAGATTAACAATGGTAGGTACTTTAATAAAATTCCAGAATACTTAATTTTTAGCACTAAATATATCAGAAGATTCCTGTCCTTCAATAAGAAGAGAGACAGCCGTTCCCACCAAGACAATTAAACTGACATATACTTTTTTTACTTTTTATTTTATTTCATTTTTAATTAGGTAGTTGATTGTCAACCATCATAGCATACACATGTACTAAAACCAATTTTTTGTAATAAATAAATTTTTAAAAAAGCATTTCTGAGTGTTCGAGAGTTATTTGGCGCAGTCGGTAGGATACACAGAATTCCCGTATCGAACGTGAATTTTCGTTTTAACGATTGACTGTGAACAGATCCTAGACAGTTGTTCGCGAAAAGTGGAAAGTGTACTGGCGGCTCTTCAAAAATCAAAGAAACCGACCTCGTATTGGACCAATACACAATTCGCTCGAGCAGAACATCGAAGTTTGGAACAACATTGTCCAAATTTGCAGAAGGAACCATCAGCGAAGACTACATTGCAGACCTGGTGAATTTCTTCATAGAAAAGGATGCTCAGAATCGCTCTCATCTTACTGTAAGTACAATTTATGGAAGAACTTTCTGAAATTTTTGAAAAATTAAGTTTTAACAAACCTTCAACTGACTCTCAACCAATTAACGAAACTTTACAAAAGAAATTTAAATTCGAATATAAGCAAGATGACACAAACTTTCAAAGCTGAATATTTAAATTGTTTGCCTGAATTCGACAGCAATCCCTAACAGATTAAAATAGGTACATATCTATAAGTGAATCGTTAATAAATAATTTTTATGACCATAGTAATCCAAATAAATTTGAAAATACATATTTAATGAATTCTATAATTTCTAAGCTTAAGGGCAACGCCAAAATGGTTGTAAGCATTCAAAAATACAGCCACATGGGAAGATTTAAAACTGTTTAACCAGAAACTTTGCTGATCAAAGAGATGAGTGTTGTCTCAATAGAGATCTAGTAATGTTAAGACAATTGCCAAATGAAAAGCCACAGCAATTTTTCGATAAATGTTTAAATATTTTAAATCTTCTATGTAGTTATGTTGACATTCACGAATCAACTACTGAGGCAAAAAACTTAAAGAAAAATTTATATCAGGATATAGCTCTAAAAACTTTCTTGTCTGGGTTACGAGAACCTTTGGGAACTACTATACGTTGCATGAAACCTAGTACTTTGGGAGAAGCTTTACAATACGTAATTTCTGAAGATAATATTCATTATTTTCAAAATTTTTCTAGTAACAAAAATATATTTAGGCCACCTGTGGCACAAATACAACAATTTAGACAACAAATGCCACAAGTACCGCGACCTAATTTCGGTTCTTCTCAGAATTTACCTTTAAATTCGCATACACAAAATAATCAATTTAGACAAAATACTTTTCCTAGCCAACCTATAAATATAAGGCCTAACCCTAACTATCAACAACCTAAATTTTTTACTAACTCCCAAGTTTTTAAAACACCTTCAAATGTTAATGTATTTAAACCCAATCCTGGACAAAGATTTCCACCACCTACACCTATGAGTGTCTCTACTAGAAACACTACAAACGTAAATAGAGCGGGTCCGTCAACATCAAACCAATATAGAAATAATTTTTCTAACCAAAATCAAAATCGTAATTATTTTAGTAATGTTGGTAAAAATCCAAATATTATTGTCGAAGAACTTTTCAATACAGAGGCAAATCAAGAAGAGACATATGATCAAAATATTGAATACTCTGAACCTCAAGATTACGAGGAATTTAATGTCAATTATCAAGATATCAATGAAACCGAAATACAGACAGATATTGTTTCGAATGTTGACAGACAAAATTTTCACGATACTCCTACTCCCAATCAAGACACATAAAACCGAAAATAATTTCATTAAACACAACAAATTCAAGTGAATTAGCATATTTAATTTTTCCTGAATATAATATAAAATTATTGATCGATTCTGGATCGACCAAATCATTTATCGATCCACAAGTCGCTAATAAATTTTTTCCAAATTCAATAAAATCAGATCCGTTTATCGTAACTACGGTATTTCAAAAATCATCACATAAATACAGCGCTGAAATTCCAGCCTCCCAAATTTTTAATTTACCGGAAACAAAATATCTTAAATTCTACTTATTTAAATTCCATAATATTTTTAATGGGCTTATTGGACTTGACATTCTTAAATTTTTACAAGCCAACATTAATTTTAAAGATGGATATTTACTAACACCATATGCAAAAATTAAACTGTTTTTTCACGGAACTCAAAATCCAGTATATTCTATAAATGTTTCACCGAGATCACAACAACTCATTAAAGTTAGAACTTC